TAATCCATTTCAGAAACACATGGCTGGATATAGCTATAGTTGCTATAAGAATGAGGCTAGGGTATCAATATTTTTGCTTGGAATGTCTTTTAGAATCTGAGGCTTAGGATAGAAACTGAGCTGCCATCAGTAACAATGGGAGCATTCCCAGTGGAGTTGTAAGGCTGGTGATAAGACCACAGCTCTATAAAGGAAACAGACTTACTTTCCTTATAGGATCAATTGTAAAGACTAGTGCGAAAAGAAAATGAGAGTATGGGGGGAGGGGAAAATATAGGAGGAATATGTTTGTCCATGTACTCCACATCCTATCCTGTATTCCTGATTCCTCCCTGCAGAAGAGCAATTCCTAAAGAAGGAGTGAGTGACTGGGCAGAAAAGACAAATAGGGAACTAAGCAAGAATGCACAGCTCAGCCTTGGCTTTATCTCATAATTCTGTTTTTCTGAAATCGCCCAATTCTTTACTCATCCAGTGGTAAACTCACTGAGGCAGAGCCCTTTGTTTGGTGTTTAAGCTGCTTTGAATTCAGAAAGAAGGTTATAAGAAGCATAATTGACTGCAAATAAGGATGTATTTAAAATATAAAGTTGTAAAACATTCCCAGAGATGTTTGTTGCTAATCCGTGGGATGTACTGAATACAGCCAGCCAGGCAATTCCACAACAAATGAATCCTCCTGGTTTGGAACTAATACAAACAGTCATTAGAGGCAGGGGACTGTGGTCATAAATAAGCTGTTGTTCAGCCAACTGTTTGATAGGCTGTTTGGGGCACCTTATTCCTATTCCTAGCTCTAAAGACTTAGGTCTATTATTGTTTAAATATTTGCATCAGTGTATTTTCTCTCCCTGTGTTTGATCTATCCTGTTTGTAAACTTTGACTTTCACCTCTGCTAAGTGTTCCCAGCAAACTGAGGCCTTTTGTATTTCAAGATATCATAGGTTTATTCTAAATCACTGTTTCCACACAAAACATTTCCCAGGCTCCATGTGAATTTAAATATTTTGAGTAAAAGTTCCAGGCTTAACATTGGGACTTTCAGCTCTAAAAAGACTTAACAAATAATAAATTTTTCATTTATCACTATAATCTTCTGAAATATTACTTCACTTTTCTGTTATTATCTCACAAGCAATACATTTCCCAGTAACAGTGTATTTCCTCTAAAATAACAGATTATGCAAAAGTAACCCAGGGTAAATGAATATTCCAGTGATTCTAGAGTAATTCTAACACTTGAGTGAGAAGAAAACATTACTGGAAAGGACTGAAATGTCATAAATATAATGCAGCAATTTTAAATTACCACGTAGTCAGGACTGAATGTATCCCTTTGTAGTAGGCCTGAATATTGCAAAATTTAACTCAATTTTTTCTTTTCTAGAAAAAGACATTAATATCATAATGAAGAAGTCCAAGCACACCAGCAGAAATCACAAGTGCATGACCAATTTTTAGCTCTGATATAAATTTCCCTTTGTTCTCTTGCCCAGCTTTTCTAAAATCCTATAAAAGTCAGTATGGGCCCAAAGCTGATCTCTTGTCGAGTTCTTACAAATCATTTCCTTAAAAGAGTGAAAATTATCAGACAGCTGCAGCAGTTCAGCTTACAGGGAAAACGTAGAATGTCATTTTCAAGGTAAGTATGCAGCTGTCTTCCTGTCACTTAAGGTTTTTTAAGACAAATCTAATTAAATGTCTACCTAAAAAGCTGACAGAATAATTCTTAGCATACTAATGAAATTTGTCATAAGGGAGCACGACCGCAATTCTGCTTCTGTATTTTGCCTCTGGCTAGCAAACCTGGAAGCCCTCATTTGAAGTAAATATGTGTAACCGCCTTCTTGACTAAGATGCTTATGATATATGTTACATTAAATTATATTTCATTTTTAAATTGAGCTTCTTTCCTCAGTAGAAAAGAGAACATTCTTCAGGATGGAGAATGTTGAGTGCTTCCTGAAAAAGGAATTTTTATCTTGTCTTTTGAATTAAACAAGTTGCTTAACTCTCTGGTCTCTACCTATCCATTCTTTCTTCCTTTTTTTTTTTTTTTGTAATATCTGAGAAAACTATTTTGAAAATATTTAATTTGGAACTGACACCGAGTTTCAGTATTAACTTTATTCATTTTCCTCCGTTCTCAAGTATATTTTTCTCTAATTTTAAGTTATACAGCTGGCTGAAGGTCTCCAAATTCTAAACTTTTTAGTGGAACATAAGTCTAACACACTTCCTTTCTCATCATTATATGAGTTTGTCTTCAGTGTCTCTGAAATGATATATTAGCTAAATTGCTAACAAAATTTTATTATCTTTAGGTATATATATCAGTTGAATACCTATATCAGTTTGCTTATTTATTTTCATCAAAATTCAAATGGAAGTATAAATTGTTATTGAAAGAAAGGTTTGCATCTGTGAATGAATCTTTGAATTTAAAACATGCATTACTTGAGGCACTGGCTTGTGTCTTTATAGTGTTTCCTTAATTCAGGATTATAGTCAAGATTGCTACTGTGTACAGATTAGTACATTTAGAATCGCATCAATCTTATGTATCAGTTCGTATGTACATTATCAGTAGATTCACAATGTTAATGTTTCATAAAGATTGAGTAAAGATTATGGTATAAAAGAGGTCAGTGTGGGTGAATCAAAAGCAAGTGTACTATTTAATGGGGAAGAGTTCCTACTCATAGTGCCTCCTTATCACCTATCTTTTTCCTGGTTTATTGTTTTATAATACTGGGAAGAAACTTTGAATATACCTGTGTATCTGAGAAAAGATCAGTGAAACTCAGTTTTTTCGTGTTTATTTGACGTCCTGAAATAAGCATCATTAGCAATAGAATCAATGCTCTAACTTCTATTAAAAAGTGCTCTCTGTGGGACCTCCCTGGTGCGCAAGTGGTTAAGTCTCAGCACTATCACTCTATTGGCAGCCATTGCAGCATGAGTTCAATCCCCAGCCAGGGAGCTAAGCTGTATGGCATAGCAGATCTCTCCTATCTCACTGCAGCTCCCCTCAGCAGTGTATTTTAGTAGATCTGCCTGTTCTGCTTCCCATTCTGTCTCTGATGAGTCCTCTTAGTCCCCCCCACCCCACACACACACACTCAGAAAAAGTGATTCCTCAACACTGGGTTTGAAAGGGAACTGCTAAGAAAAGGAAGTATTTCCCTGTTAAAGAGTCATAGACCTGGAAATGTGAAGTAAATAACAAGGATGCTTTCTTAATAAGCATATTTAAACAAGGCCAGGCAGCTGCTAGGCTGATTGATCTCTCAGGCCATCCTCAAAGATCTGTATTTTTCCCCTTTTCCTGTGTCAAGAATTTGTATGCTAACTAACCAATGTCATCAATGTAAAGTGGTTATGTAGAAAAGAAAGTCTTTGTCTCAAGACCAGTGCCCTGGTCTGAGGCCTCATGCATGAGTATTAAAGCTTCTCCTGACCTCACCATTCCTGAAGAACCACTTGTTCTTCCCTTGTCTGGGTAAAAGGCTAGAATTTATTTCTGCAACAGGTTCTCACAATTCTTGTTTTCCTGGCATTCACATCACTATAGCTCAGATGTTGTGTAGGAAAGGAAAAGTTATCAAAAGTGAAAATATTTACTGATCAACTGACCACTGGATAATTTTGGTTAAAACTAGCTTTTATTTCTGTGAACTATGTCAGCCTCTTTGCCCACTTCTTAATCTGATTAAAATACAATGCAAATTAATATTCAAGCCTTGGGCCTCCCTGGTGGTGCAGGCAATTGAGCGCTGCACTGTGAAGCTGTCCGCAGCCTCTGCAGAATGGGTTTGATCCCGGCTGCTACGGAGAATCCCACATGGCAAAGCAGACCTCTCCTGTCTCGCCTTTTGCTCCCCTCAGTAGTGTATTTTGTCAGTCTGCCTGTTCTACTCCCCTCACTGTCTCTGATGAATCCTCTCACCCTCCCGTGCATCTGGCCTGTACCCCGGTTCTTGTGTAAAAAAATAAATAAATCTTTAAAAAATAAAATAATATTCAAGCCTTTAAATTTGGGAGGAACTGATAGGATTTGATGAGACTAAAGAGGTGGTTAGGGTGTTAGTTTTTTTTTTTTTAAGATTTATTTATTTATGTATACAAGAATGGGGGTGTCTTTAACCCTTGGGCCACCAGAGAGGCCCTAGGATATTAGGTTTTTAAAACAAAGATATTGTCAAGTTCTAACCCATTAGATAATACCTGCAAAAGAGAAAAATCTATAATTATGAAAGAACATGAGAGAGTGAATTAATTTCCAGCTGTTATGAAGGCTTCATGGGCAAAGTGATGAAACACTTCATATTTTGTCAGAAAAGGTATTTTTAAACTTCCAGTCATACCTGATGAAAAACACTCACTTTTGCCAATAATATTTTGCAAAGCCAATAGCTGACTAATGTCTGACTTTTACTAAAAATAAGTTGTGTAGTTTGCTAAATGTAAACCCAAACTCCCTGTGATTTTTTTATATTGTTGAAAAAAGTATACATTTTGCTCACTAATTTGAAATGTTCCACATTTAGGTGAATTTATGACAACTTTATTGGAGTATAAAAGGCACCATTTTAAATATCACAATTAAAATTGTGAATCACTGATAAGTTTTGACGATTGTACACATTTGTATAATCAATCAAATCAAATACACCACTTTTAAGGGAAAGAGCATTCCCTCACCTCACCTGAAGTTTCTCATTTGCTTTTGCGACATATAATCCTTATCGCCTCTGGTCTTAGATCACTGTAAATTTACTTTTTTAAAATGCTTTTTAAATTCTGAAATGATTATAGATTCACAGAAGGAGGCTGCTGATGTTCATCAAGGCTGTGGCCTTCACTTGACCCCCATCCTGACCCTGATCCCTGAGGCTCCTTCCTTCCCTGCCTCCCTCAGAGATTGCCTTCATTCTACTTTTCTGGTTCTAAGAGCTACTTCAAAGACTTGGCCTTGAGAGATCAGTGAGTTATAGATACCATCTGCTTGCAATTGCAACAGAAACCTCAGCCTCTATAAAGCTTAAGATTCTTGGGGAGGTGCCCAGAGCTACCAGTTTGGAGATCAGTCCAGAGGGATGCTGATAGGTAAGTCTCTTGGTTTATTAAAATACCTTGTGCTGCACAGAATGGGGCCTGCTTTGAATTGCACCCAGAAACTCAGAGAGAGCTCTGGCTGGTGGTTCATGCTCCACTCCACTGCTGAAGAGGGAGCAGTTTTTCCTGTGATCTTTGGAGTAGGTAGATGTCAAAAAGCTTTCCTACCAGGCCTCCTCCTTTTTCCTGCTCATTGGCTGCAGGGAGTGGGTTTTTCTTGGAGCCCTATTTGCGCCACAATGGATATGACTCTGATATACTGCTATAGGAACAGATACATTGATTCTAGTAGTTTTTTTTTGGGTACATTCCATCAGAGTTTCTACAGAGGTGATTGTGTTCTCCGTGGATAAATACAATTTTACTTCACTTCAATCTTGTTTTTTAATTTCTTTTTCTAGTCTTCTGAACTGGCTAGGCCAGGCAGTGCTGTATATAACCGTGACAGTGGAGATAGTGGTCTTGTTCCCTATCTTGCGGAAAGCATTCTGTTTTCATGACTAAGTATGAGGTTAGTAGTAGCTTTTCTTTCTATGTATTTTGTCAGATCAGAACATATCATTGTGTTTCTTCTTGTGCAGATTTATCTTTGCTTTTGACTTTTTTGGTGTCTTATAATGAGGAATGGATTTTTTTAATGCATTGGGTGCATCACGTGATTTTCTTTTTTTAATTGTTATATGATGAATCAGATTGAGTAACTTTCAGATAGTAAATCAAATTTTCATTCCTGGAAAAACTCCATAGGGTCATGAGCTATTACCTATGTAGTCCGGTTTGATTTGCTTAATATTTTGTTTATAATTTTTGCATCTGTGTTCATAAAGGGTATTTTATTTTTGCGTTTTTTAATAATATCTAGAGTAATGCTAGTGTCTTGGGATGAATTAGAAAATCTGCCCTCTTCCATTATCTGGAAGTATTTGTATAGAATTATTATTGCTTTCAGTATTTATAAAATTTACCATTTAATTATGTGGACCTGGTTTTTTATGGATAGGTTTGTATCGATATATTCATTTTTGATATGCAACTTTTCAAACTATTTCTTTGTGAGTGAACTTGTGCAATTGTTTCAGGTAGGCAGGTAAATGTCACTGTAAGTTCATTCCTGTTTACGTCACCTTAGAGGGTGGCGAATCCTTTCTATTTAAACACTTCTTGTGAGTATTGTTCAAAGGTGTATCTAAGTACCTACCAAAGGCAGGGAAATGCCATGCATCAGGAAGCACCGGAGGGCAATTTTCAAAAGGGAAAAGAAAATAACAAAGTTTGATAGAAACAATAGCCTATGCATTTCAAAATTAAGTGATTAAAATAATGGCAATCACAAAATTCTGCTTTCTCAAGCAAAATCCAACACCACTGAAATAAATGGTGTTTTGCATGTTTAGAAAAATAATGCATCTTTACCTCAAAAAATATATTTAGGAACCAAGTGCTGAGGTCTGAAAATTATAGAGAAATTTCTTGGCATTAATATGTATCTGGAAGGTTATATTGAACTTCAGACTTGGGGGGAAAAACTTTTGTTTTTTTTTTTTAAATTTACATTCCTAAAAAAGAAAAGATGGTATCAAAAATTGTTTACAGATTGATAAAGATGGATTGTTGTTATAAGAGTTTAAAATTAGCCACAATTTTGCTGTATTTAGAAGACCTCATTGAATTAAATTATAATGCACTTCAAATTCTTTGTTATAAAGTTTAAAAATCATAAGCCATGGCAATCACCTGGCCGTTGAGGTTTTGATTATATGAAGTGCATGTTGTTCTTTCTTTGCATCTTTTATTGTCTAGCACATAACTAGAAACTGATTGCTCTTAATCAGCATTTGTAGATTTACTGATTAATATCATTATGATGTTTAAATATGTATCAGCAAAAAACTTTCTCATTTTAAATATAGACTATTTAGTTTTTGGTATGTATATAATATGTATGTAATTTAATTTTCTTGATCTTAAGTGCATAAAGTATATGACTTTATATTTTTTATTTGAAAATCCAAAATCTAAATTCTAAAGCCTAAATTCATGATATGGTATTATTTCAACTAAATCATTATCTCTAATGATACTAGTGTATAATCACTATAGAACTAGTTTTTATTGCCTTTGCATATATTTGACTACTCTTTATTAATATTCAGCATACTTGTTACTGCTTATTGCAAAATATGTCTTATTTCAGATGTTTAAAAATTCAAAAAATTGGCTTCAAAAATTTATTATTCTGAGTCAGCAATTACCATTTAATTCTTGAAAGTCATTCCTTTTTTTTTTTAAAGTAAAAAATATTTGTAATCTAAATTTTTTTGGCATTTCCACATTTAATAGGTCCAGTGATTAGTCAGTATTGTTTGTGAGTGATTAAATTTTATTGTACCATTATGAAGAATAAAATATGTCACTCCTCTGAGAAACATTTAATATTTGATCTAGTACATGTGACAGAATTCTAAATGGGAAAGAAATCCCTGAGGGAATTTGCAGATGGCCCTGGATATCTATTTTTGGAACATGTAGTTTTATTTAACAACATTCCACAGTAGTGGGTCATGGTCCACAATTCACAGCAAGCTCTCAAATGTTTTAGTCTACTTTTTTGCTTTTTATCCGTAATGCTATGAACTACTTCGATAATAAACTTGCCACCTCGGCAGGCATTATCATTCCTCCTATGGCTTTACCCTGTCTCCTTTTTTTTTTTTTAATTTTTCTAAAATTTATTTTTATAAAAGAGCTGGGGTACAGGCCAGAGGCATGGGAGGGTGAGAGGATTCACCAGAGACAGAGCAGGGAACAGAACAGGCAGACAACTGAAATACACTGCTCAGGGGAGTAGAGGGCAAGACAGGAGGAAAGGTCTGCCACACCATGTGGGTTTCTCCCTGGTTGGCCGGGAATTGAACCTGCGCTGCAGAGGCTGTAGACAGCTTCATAGTGCTGTGCTCAACTCACTGCGCCACTGGGGAGGCCCCTATCCTGTCTCGTCTTACCTCACCTGCAGACCTATTTATCTTCAGAACAAGCAGCCCTTCTGCGTCTTCAATCCATTGATCTTCATTCTTACTTTTTCAGACATGACCAATTTCCACTTTAACTTTCTAGGCCTTCACAGTGTGCTGTATTTTGATTTTCTATCTTATGAACTTTGTTCTGCCCTTTCTCTGTATAGTTCAAATATATCTTCTCATTCTTCCTGTCAACTCAAGCTTCGCGTCAATTTCTGAAATGTCCTGTTATTTGAAGTGCCCAAACATGAATTTTTTCACAACAAGATGATATATATTCCAGTTTTTTAAATTAGCATAGTCATAATTTGCAGCTTTGAATTGTTGGTAGAAATCAAAATAGTATTTTTCTCATTTGGCTTAGTATATATTTTTCATGTATATTCATTTTTAACAAAATCACTATTTCTGTGTAGTTTCTTTATCAACCCCCCTAGTTTCCTTTTAGACATTGTGAATTTTTCTGATTAGTGTCATGTAGCACATGTTCACTAATAAAATTCTCATATTTTCTAAGCAAACAACAATTTTGTATTGTTCATTTCTTTAAATCTGAAAAGAAACATGTAAAGGTGATGCAAAGTTTCGTATTCTAGTTTTGGCAGAAATGTGGAACCTGGAATAATATTTTATTATCAAAATTTAAGAGACATAAGTATATGCACAACAAACATATTTATTTCTCAGTCAAGGTAATGTATTTAAGCATGAGGTATAATTAATCAGCCTGTAAGATCATCAAGGAAGGCTTTATTGGCGAATGGGGAGCATAACTGGTCTCATAACCAAGGAAGAGTCAGGGTCAGGGAATAGGGAATTTTAAAGGACCAAGCAGAGTAGTGGTCTGAACTGGGGTCCTATGTTTTGAAATCTTTATATTGGTTATGTTCATTTGTCTTTTGATGACTGGTTGGCAAGAGTCTTCAGTCAGAAAGGGATGATGTGGGATCTTTTATAACTACCAGCAAATCGTCTTCTGTTTCTTTCCTAGTCACTGATCAAGAGAATACAGGGAATTGCTAAGTCAGGCTGCATTTAGCTATACACCTAGAAATCTCAACATGGCAAGTAGGAGTCTGATTTAGTCAGGTTCCACAATTAATCTATTGGGAGTGCGGTAACCATAATACTCATATTTCAGGTAGGCAAATAATACTTCTATAGGGTATATGCAACCATCTGAACAACAGTTACAAACAATTCAATATAGTATGTGAAAAAAACATTCATTTATTTGGGGTCACACTTGTGTTAAAAGAAGAAATAAGCAAATGGGGCATTAATATATTTTATAATATTAAAATAAAATTAACATATTTAATAACATTCTAATTCAAAATATACTAAAGTGGTATTAAATTTACTTATCTACTCTTTTTGTGTGGGCTATAAAGAGTAAATTTTTAAATGATATGGTGTCAAATGTATAAATCCTACAAAATATAAGTGGAGATAAAATTATGATTATATTTTTGTTCTTCACAAAAATAAAATTACCATCTCTTATGCTTTCAATTTCTGTCTTTTAGGTTTATGGTATAAAATTGGTGACCCTTAAAATAAACAAATCTTTAAAAATCTAACAAAGAATGTATTTAACAAATACTTAATTTATTAAAAAAATAATAATTTCCAGTTTCTCCTTATTTCAGTAATAAGGCACTCTTCAGCTCATAGAATAAGCTATACTGGTTTGTGTGTGACTTTTTCTTTATACAGAGATAAAATTCATCCTCTTATAACAGTTGCTTACTGGTCTGAATTTATTCATCTGGAACTTAGTAGAGCGAGTGTTAAAATTACACAGTAATTATGTCCCTTGCTGTATACAACAGCTGAAGTTAATGCTTGGTTTTTCTTTACTCCTACACATGTGATGTTCATGGATCACCAAGAATTTGAGAAGAGTTTATATTCACATTTTGGAATTCACTAATCTGTGGCTCATCCTAGCTGATGTTTCTTCTCTTATTT